TGAACCAAATAAGCTATCCAACTAGCATCAAGGAAAAAACTAAAAAAGAAAGAAACAAGCGTGAATACTTACGTAGCTGATACTCTTGCCAAGTCTCTTGCACCATCATAAGACATCACCAAAATGATCATGATTGCATGCAATATTTCGTTGGGCAACTCCAGCAGTTGCGACATCTTCTTGTTTTTGGATAGGCAATCGCATGGTAAAAATGTAAAAACATCATCAATTACAGGAAGTAGCGAGTGATGGTGACATCTAAGGCTTAAGTAAGGGAAAGAAAAGCCGTTCTTTTTGAGACAATCCTTTTAATCTCCAATAGATGAAGAAAGGGACAACCCTTAAGAGCATTACTCCAAGCACCTCCTACAATTAAAGAAGCGTATATGTATGTTTGTGTGTGAATACAAAAATACACACACACACACACACACATATATATATATATAGGGGCAGGTTCATTAGGAACACTAAATATTTTAGGAACCCAAGGACCAGCCTTTTTGTGAGAATTCATGATGAATATTATTAATCATGAATATCTGTCCCGATATTTATCATCAATATTTTATCACGTTATTCATCATGAATACTCATAAAAAGGGTGGTTCCAAAAAATATTTAGTGTTCCAAAATGAACCTCACTCTATATATGTATATACATATGTACAAAAGATGTATTAAGCAATGAAAGTAACTTCAGAATTGCACTAAAGAAAGATGCTACCCAGGAATGCATACAAATCAGTAAACAGAAGAGGAAAGAAGTATTTTATTATAATTTCCTTTTAACAACAAAACTCGTTTATAAATTCTTTGATACAATTTAATATTACAAAGACTTTGGGACAACATAACCATGTATCCATTAATGGAAAAAGAAGCAGTAAACCTAGAAATTAAATATCTACCGGATTACCATTCAAGCATAGGTATATACAGGGTAAAGCAACCCAATAAATCTAAAGATGATCTAATTAAGAATTGTCCATCTAGTTGAGGAAAAAAATCATACTCAACCATGTTTGATTTGAATCATCAGCAGATGTAAGAAATGGAGAACCATAAATTAAGAAACTCTAGTTTTCAAGAAGACACGACTAAGATGCTGAATGAACTCTAGTTTGTTTCAGATAGTGCTTAGGTAGAAGATATCACTCACAAAACCTAACTTTAAACCCAATGTAAAATGAACAAATCCAAGTGAGTCAAGGGCCATATATTTAAATGGGCATCCAAATAAATTATGTCCAAAATGAGTTTCTTAATGGGCAAGATAAAGTTGTGTGTCTTACATCTGAAATCCCAACGCCAAAAATTACGCACAAATAAAGGCATTTGTCTTTATGTGCCTCAAATAGCCAAGGTCTCATTGCTAAACTCTATTGGTCCTTTGACCACAACCAACATTATTTTTGTAGAGAACCATGTCTTAAAGCAAAATCACATAAAACCTTTCACATAAACTTTCCAAAATCATCTAAGATATGGATAGTGCTTTTAAACACATACCAAATTAAGTTCAACAGACTACAACATTACTGAGGGAGCAAAAATATATAATATTATACAAATCTTTACCCCAAACCCTACTTTCTAGCAGGATATACTGGGTTCGTTTGGTTTTTTTGTACATAAAGACACATTTCAATGGACATATAACACTAAAAGCGGTGTAATCAAGTCTTCAATACCACTAATGCCACGGAAGCAAATCGCTATAGAATTAAATTCACATAAGAAAACAAGGAGCTGAGCTGATTCAGGTCAAAGCTTACATACAGAATCACAGTATGCATTAATTCATGACTTAAGTAACGTATGCATTACTGTGAGTTGCCGATATGGGATTTGTGAAAGGTAGGCTTGGTGGGTGAGGCGGTCCATCTATTTAATTCTTAAGACCACCGGTCTTACCTTTTCAAGGTGTCCTTGATTACTAAATGTGAACAATTCTACAGAACTTGTGAAAAAACATAATATAAGCCAATATAAACTAAAGCATTGACCAAACCAGTATTGCCAACCAAAAAAAGTTATCAATGAATCAAAGTGTAATGTTACTTCTTTACAGTGTGATTACCACATAAGTATAGCCTGTGATTACAACATAAGTATAGCCGTATCTCAATATAGTAACCAATGACTGATGATCATTGATCTTCCTGATTAAGCAAACAAAACTTCTCTGCAAACCGAACAAAGCACACACTTATTTAAAGCTTATATATAATAGAAACATACATACATATGTATATACATATACATATACATACATATAGGAGCGGGTTCAAAAGAGAACCCCAAAAAATAGAGAACATGGATATTTCCTCCATTCCATTTAATCAATGGTAGATTTTTTTTAGTAAAGATCAATGGTAGATATTTTTTTTTCTTTTTATAATGATCAATGATTGATTTTGGAAGGGTATGGATTAATTAAATGGATTATGGCTAAAATCAGGTTTAAACAAAAGAGTTGACTTTTCAATGCATTATCTTTTTGTTGTAAATAGAAGTAGATTTACCTCCTTTTTTTAAATCCAAATCATCTAAATATAATTAATTTTTTAATGAAACATATTATATATGAAAACAAGAATTTTATTCTCTTTAATTTGATACCTATTGGGTCTTCAAAATCTCGATCATGAGTATATTCAATACAGATTACAGGTGACTATGAGTAATATGCATTACAAGGATAAACATGAGTATATTCACATGTAAATCTACATTAAAAGTGGTGGTTGAGCATGACTTGCTAATTTGAAGACCCGGCTTAACAAACCCCCGAAAAAGTATATCGATATAGGTGTCAAGTTAAAGAAAATAAAATTCCCAATTTTTGGTATAATTTGCTTAAATCAAAATTTTATTATAATTTAAATTGTTTAGGTTTAAAAATATGTGCGTAATATTTTACTTTCAAACTTAAGTTTTGTTTAATTGTAATGTGGGGAGGCTGGTTCAAATTACCTACCTACCCCTTGTAATAAAAAAATTCATTTAATGAGAGCCATATGATTAAATTAGATGGATGTGGTGAATGTCTTTGTTCTCTGTTTTTTTGGGGGTTCTCCTTAAATCCCACCCTATAGGAACGAGCAGAAGTCATGATTAAAGGTCCCGGTCTCGGAAGAGACGCAGCATTACGAGCTATTCACAGAAGTGGTATACTATTAACTTTGGGATCCGATGAAAACTCCTCATTTTCATAAGAACCATGAGAACACATTCTGGATCCTCGATCTCTTTTAATCCAACGGAGATGATCGCATGCATTTTTGTGAAGGAGGGGCATTTTCGACTTCATGTTTCAGTTTTCTTCTTCTGGGCACGATCGCGTTACGTAAAGTTTTAGTATTTTTCTTATTGAGTGCAGTAGTGAAGGTATGTGAAGTTTAGTGCATTTATGTTAAAGTATCTTCAGGTATGTTAAGGTTCAGTCTTTTTCATGTTAAGGTACGTGCAGCTTCAATGTTTTTCATGTTAAAGTATATGCAGGTTCAGTGGTTTTGATGTCAAAGTCTCTGCAGGCTCAATATTTTTCGTGTTATGGTATGCTAAGTTTATGTTAAGGTATGTGCAGCTACGGTCTCCCTTACACTAAAGTTCCACTTAATTACAAAAATGCCACCGCATTTTTACAGTCTTGCGATGAAAACCCTCCAAAGGCTTAGAAGATGTTCTCATGAAATTCTGATCGCAAGTCTTTATATATATATATATATATATATATATACACACCAGAATACCAAATACATTTAGATATATATACACATGTATATAGATATATTCATCTAGGGTTGGGTTCCGGTGAGAAGGGAAGTTATGGTGAGAAGCATAAGAAGAGATCTCCACCCTTGGATCAATCCTGATTGAATGTCAACATTAATAAGGTGCACCAAGATGCACCGGATCAATTCCCTTCTAAAGCGCTATTCATGGATGGGCATGAGATAAAAAATGATCAAGGGTTCAAATCTCTTCTTATGCTTCTCACCATAACTTCTCTTCTCACACGATCCTTCGCCTATTCATCTATACATAAATATATAGATATAGATATTGAAGTAGATTCAAAGAATATATATATTACAATTCCTTAGAAGATATTACACTCATTTATAGACAAAATTGAATGTATGCTAAGAAACCATAGTTAAGATTACTAGAAAGCAAAACCCTAATTATTTAACAATGTACAACATATAACACTCCCAAAGTTGGAGTAAGGATGTTAATCACTCCCAACTTGTTACAAATAGTATCTAGTTGTGCTTTTCTTAAGGGAAAAGTTCAGAAAAACCCAACTTACATTTCCATTTTGAATGATTAAGTACCTGAATGTTTTAGGTACACTTTGGATTTGACTCTGCACATCAAAGCATGAGGATCCCTTATCCCAAGCATCAAGCTATCTTTTAGTTCATGTCGGAGCGAAGACATGAGCCAAGTTGGTGAAGCTAGTCAAGCTACTCTAACTGTTCAAGCTACCATAGTGTTACATCTGTAACACCTATGAATTGAACTAGCTACTCTGATTTAAAATTTTCAGTTGTAAAGCTGAGCAGTCAGAAGAGTTGATCAAATTAACAGTTTCTACTGTCACAAGCTCCAAAGGCCTATGACTTATTATTCGTTATTTGCTGAAATAGTATAAGAATTTCAACAATAAATGAAGCCTTCAAAGGCACTTCTTGAAAGCCACATAGTCACAGCAGAAATAGCATCTTTACTGTCCTCCTCTCTTCTACTTCTATTCTCTTCATATAAGTATTTTATAGATACTTATGGTTCTGCTGCCGTAAGTGTTCCTGGGCCGAATTGCTTCTAACTTTAAGGCCAGGAACTCGGTTCAGTGTTATCTCCAGTTCTTCTGTTCTTATAAGGAGGTCTGAGTGAGCAGTATTTGATAACAAGGAGAACTCAAATGCTAAATTTTGAATAACAATCAGTAACAAACACAGGACAGATGGAGAGAGATTATGAACCTGAGAAAAATGCTTAGCCGCGTGGCTAAATTGCAAATATATGTAAGAAGCTACACTTGATCAACGTGAAGACTCAAATATAGGATAACTTCTTATGATACTCTGACTGCCAAAGTGGGATGCATTCTAATCACCACAATTTTCACAGTGAAAGCTCAAAAATGCCACCCTTTAGATCTCCAGTATTTCCGTGCATTTTCTTCACAACGCCCTTTCTTTATCTTTAAAAACAGTTTATAAGCCATCTCTACTTTATTTGAAGCCAGTAGTTTGTTATTCAACTTGGCACAAATAAGCCTACTAGGGCAAAACCCTTTCTTCAAACAATCTTCCATGATGACCACAGCATTTTCAAGTTGACCATTGTTGCAGAGTCCATTGATGATGTACTCGTACACCTCTACATCAGAAAAATAACCACCTCGTTCCATCTCATCCCATATGGTCAAAAGCATACCACATTTACCAAATCGTGAAAGCCGCATAAGTAATATCTTGTAAGCACTTAATGATACCGTACACCCCACATCCTTTGCTTTCTTATAAATCATCATAGCAGCATGTGGTGGGCCATAACCACAGAGAGACTCAATGAATGAGGTTACAGTCCCAGTAGCGGGAATAATCCCCCGACCTATCATCTCATCAAACATTTCAATTGCATCTGCTACCCTTCGAACTTTAAGAAAAGCAGAGATTATTGAGACATAAGTATCCATGTTTGGTTCACAGTTATTACTCAACATAGCATCGTAGTATTTCAAACATTCATCGATATTTCCAACTGCGATGAAGTTGAAGATCATCGCGTTGAAAATAGCAGCATTTAGTACACATCTTTTCTGCTCTTTCAAATTCTCAAAGATCTGTACTGCATCATCGATTCGGCCAGCTCGGCCCAAACCTTCAAGTAGGTGGCTAAAAGTAAAATTATCAGGCTCAAATCCATCCGCTACCATCTCCTTCAAAACCCTCTCAATCTCACTATCTCTACCAAATTTGGACCACCCACGTATGACTATGTTATATGTCTCGCTATCAAATGGCACTTTTTCTTTCATTTTATTTAGGAGCGAACTTGCAGTGGCTACGAAAGAACGCATACAAAGGCATCGCAGCATAAGTTTCAAAGACTCCAAGTCATATTCCATCCCGAATTCTTCCAATTTCCCAAACATGTGTAAAGCTTTAGAAACTCGCCTGGCCTTAACAAAACTATCCATAAAAATAAACAATGTTTCATAATTAGGGTTCAACCCTTTCGCCCTCATTTCACTTAACACATTGATCATATAATTAAAGAATTTCCTTCTCCCTAACGCTCTAAGAACTACATTATAACTGTCAACATCCTCAAATACCTTACCATGCTCAATTGCCCACTCGAAAAGAGTAACCATAGCTTGCCCACTCAAACTCCCTCTGTTCAGTACTTTAGCAACTAAATCAGAACTCACCTCAAGATCAACAGCAGCCACTGTTAATGCACGTTTAATTGCAGTTTTTCCATTCAATTTCTGAATAAAAATCCCTCTTAACTTATCTTCAGGTGACAATAACATCTCCAGATTTTGGTTCAATTGACTCGATTCCGAACTGGGTTCTTCAATTGAAGGTGTGCTATGATGGCGGATGGGTAACAGGACAGACAATTGATCCAACACATGGTGTTCGTTAATGTTCATATTGTTTTCGGTAGGTTTCTTATCATCTGAGTTCAATAGATAGCATGTTTTAACTGAAAAGGGTGATGACGAAACTGAGAAATGAAGAATTTGAGACCTGTACCTGATTTTGTTGAATCTAACAAGGAACATGCTGGTAAACCGCAGAGATTTTTAACGGAATTTAGGAGCTTTGGTGGACAGACACCAGTGTATATTAATCGATGACGAATTTGCGATTTTCAGTTTACATCCTGCACCCTAATCATGTTGTATTGTATGAGTTCGTGTTGATCGATAAAGAACGCTCCGCGATAGAAGTTGAAAGTTGCATAAATGATGAGTTAAAAAGACACCAAAAGTAACCCCATTTTTTATAGAGGTAGGGGGTAGTCGTTTTAAGTCTTGATAAATGTGAGAAGTGTGTGAGATTAATTGCTTTATACTTTCAAAGCAAATGGACATGTCATCGAAACATGTTTGATAGGATTTCGAACGATATCTTCTAAGCAGAGTTGGAGTTATGTCTATCTTAGATAAGTTGAGAGAGGGAATATTAAGATGGTTTATACACCTTTGCGTTAGACATTTAGCTACTATGATAGAAGAGGGTAGAAATTGTGACGGTCGAGAGGGCAAGGAGAGGAGGCAGATGGGGAGGACGTGTGTGTGAGCAACTGAGGATAGACATGGAAACCTTAAGTATTTATGATGACATGGCATCTGATAGGAGTTTTATTGAGCCGTAAGATTAGATAGTAAACTAGAGTATGACCTATAGGATGTAGGTAGGTTAAGCGGAAAAAGGGAGCTCCAGAGGTAGTGGTGGGGGTAGGATAAGGAGGTAGGAGATAACGACGACAATTCTAAGATAGACTAAGATGGCGTTTGATTCATAAAATGGAATATGTGGGAATTGAAAACTGTCTAAGGAATTAGAATTTGAAGGATTGGAACATAATTTAATCAAGTTTGACCATTTGTTTGGTTGTCAGGAATTGAAATGAAATCTATCAAATGAGTTGGAATTTATATGTTTTGTTTGTCGAATATAACTTCGGAATTGTAATGAAATAATGATAAATGATTAAAATACCACTTTTATGACATCTTCATATTTGAAATACTATATGATAATATAAATCGGTGACGGTGGTGGCCTGGAGACAACAATAGTGGTGGCAGTGACAACGGTGGCAGTGGTGATGCAGTGGTGGTGGAGACAGTAATGTTGTTGTTGGTGCTTCTATAGTGGCGGCGGTAGTAGTAGTGGTAATGACTACCACCATGGTGGGATAGAATATAATAGAGTAAATATAAGGGCGTAGTCGTCTTTTTTAAAAGATAGGATGAAAAGGACTTGTAATTTTTTACTAAAATCTAGAGAATTTAAATTCCGTCATATGTGAATTAGAATTATGTACTAAAACTCAACCTAAATACATGAATGGGACTGACCCAACAATTCCTTTCAGATTTTGTTGGAATCCGGCAAACCCAAAACCACCTAAAGGATGGCTATTTGTCTTGCATTTGTTTATATTCCTTTGTACACGCTGATGTTTCTTTCTCTGGTGCAACGTTCTTTTCCTTTTTTGTGATTTGTTTTTCTGTATTTGCTTCTAACCTTAAATTTTCATCTTTTTTCTTTCACTCCTTTTTTATATTGTTCAGCTTTTTTGGGCTAGCTTTCTTTTTTCGCACACACTTTCTGTAACCTCAGAAGTTTTTACAGAAACAACTGACATACTATTTGGTGTAGGTGTCATGTTTGCGTATGTCTCACCCCACACAACCCCTACTTTCGGATGGGATATAATGAGCTTGTTTCAGTTACCCGTGTTTGAGTTATGTCAGTGTATTCTTTATAAATCAGTCATGTCCATCTTATCTTCCCCATAACCACATCATGTGGGATTCATTGGGTTTGGTTTAATTTGGGTTACTGTAGGTAAAAAAAATTGAATATATTTTTCGTACAAGCCACTAATTGCGTCCATAACTCTTAGTGCATCCATGTCGAGGTCAAAATGTTGGTAGAAATCATGGTTTGCCCTAAAACTGAATCAGATGGCCACATCAAACAAATATGACGACAAACAAACCCACAACCAATATGGAAACAAATGCGAATCAACAAATGACATATCAATGTGTCACAATAACAAACAAGGAAAACAAAAGGCAAAAAATGATGCAAACATATAATGTGGTTCCATAGTCTTAAAATCGTATATGTTCATACAACGAACCTGAGATGTTGTATACTGTTGATGAAACCTAGTGGGGAAGGTTGCTTGACACAAGATTACTGTTTTTCTTTCAACAAATTTTAATGCAAATATAGAAATTTTAAGCTAGAGAATATAATTTTGATATTTAGAGCGGTCTACGTGAGCCCACCTTAAGACACAAAGATTCAATAATGTTGTTCTTTAAGATGTAACATAAACCATTGCACAAATGAAACATCTCACTTAAGAAACTCCAAGTTACCAATTTTATAAAATCTCTAATAAAAAAATTGATTAACCTCAAAATACGGGATATTAATTTTCTAGAAAATCTTTGAAATGTCCGTTCTATTTTAGTGATAAAACCAACCAAAACACAAATTCTAACGAATTTTTACTTACAACCCGAATTGAGTAGCAAAATAAACAGGACATACTTATAACCGGAATATAACTATATACAAGCTACAATTACTACACCTATGAGATACGGTGTTAAACTACTATATACCAAAAGTAAGTTCGTAGTCTTCAAGTCCACCGATAAATCTCCAAGTCAAACAACGGGTTCTTTCCTTTTATTTGTCTTCTTTCCTGAAAGGGGTTGACACTTTAAAGGTAAGTCAACGCTTAGTGAGTTAGATAGTTAAGTATTACATATTAATATCGCACATGTGTATAAACATACATAATAAACTTTTATCAACAAAAGAGTTCAAAACATCATCTAAATGCAAAACGAGACTTACAAGGAACCGAGTGAACAAATACGTACTGGATGCTAAGATCATAGAATTCCATATTCAAACCACTATAACATACCATACCATTGATGCTCAATACAACAAAGAAACATGACCAATAACCAGATATACTCAACAACGTTAGAATACCAATAAATATCAAGAACCAAAAGATTGAATCGGTCAACATAACGAGAACAGTGCATCACCCCGTCCTTCACCTTCCGGGCTCATGCCAAAGTCCGAGTCAGAATCGTACATCACGGGAAACTTCGCACTGCCCGTCTTCCTCTACCGGGTGTGTGCCAAGGTTCCCTACTCATTGTTCTTCCTCCTTTTTGAGCAATGAGTATCCACAACCGCAGAAAGTCTCACCCGTCCAACCCAGGATCTTGACTTCGCCATAAACTTTCGGCGTGCCACACGAAGTAGTACCCGTACTATGAAGTACAATTCAAGGAGCAAAACAACGAGTCTGGATCCAAAAAGCAAACCGATGAAACGAGATCATAATACGGAATAGACTCAAGAGACAGAATCAAAGACAAATCAAGATAGTGTGACTCAATTCAAGACCAGAAATCTTCATATGAAAATATATATATATTCGAAACAATATGTAACCATTAACTATATAACTCACCGAGCAACCGTACAATACCGAAAAGCTCTGAAATGAGCTCACAAAGCAAGTCAAAAGCTACCACACTTAGAATGCTTCCAAACCCTCAAACCTAATTACCCCCTGGAGTGAATGTACAAAATCTCATAAGCAACCAATATAAGAAACTCAAGTTATATTTTCTATTTAAACACTTTACATAGATTCATATGTACAACTGCTACTTGGATATCTGTTTTGTCCATTTTAAACTCGAATTCATGACTTGATCATAAAATAAGAAATAAACTAAACTATCTAACCACTTGATCATAAAATAAGAAATAAACTAAACTATCTAACTAAAGAAATTGACATCATCGCATTTGGATTTTTCTATAATTTTATACAGTTTTTCAAAGTATGCACATTTTCAGTGCCTTCGTAAGTCAAAATTCTCATTTTCATACATTTTTCGTACCATTTCAATTCCAAATTATTCCAATTTCTGAATTTCAACTTAATATAACATATTTGACATAAACAACCAAAATCCAACATTTATTTCATCATTTGTATTATCTCCCAAATCTTTGACACAATCAAGTCAAAGTTCATATGATAAACTTGCTTAAATCTTGATAATCTTTTGAACCTAATGATCATTTCATGCCATAAATACTAAAATGTACCCATTTTATACACTTAAGATCAAACCCATATGAAACCCTAACTCTTTCTTAACATGTAATCCATATATCAAGAATGTCAACCAAGAACAAGTGCAAAGATGGATTGTACATTTAGTTGATGATCAAATCCTTCAAAAATCTCGCAATTCCTCTTTGATTTGAGTTTGAATCGAGCCTATATATGTAAAAATCGCACCTCTATTGTGTGTGAGTTCTGAACTCAAAATGACATGAAAATAGGGCCAAAAATCCAATTTCTTATGCTAAATCCCGAGTTGGGTCGGATTGACCTAGCTAGGTACCTATTTTGACTATCAACACTTAAAATATTCATAACTTTTCCCTCTGACCTCCGTTTTCTATGAGGTTTTCATCTACAAGCTCATAAAGAGATATTCTATAACCCCCAACATAAATATTCCAGAAAAGATCTCCCAAAAAATCAGTTTTACGTATCTATTTGACGTGAAATTTTCCCAAATCCTTTCATATACTCCTAAGAAGTATAATTCTAAAATTTCAAACTCAAACTCCCACTAAATTATAGGTTCTCTTATATGGACATTATTAAAAACACTAAGTAAAATTTTCCACTTTGACATAACATGCATCACAACTTCTCACATAATATTCTCTTTAACATAATAATTAAACATACTTAGCAAATAATTTGGTCATATTAGAAATTGGATGTTACAACAAATGTATATACAAAACTCTTCACTTAAGCAAGAGTTTGAATAGATTGTCAACACACTGAATAAATCAATATATAGTCCAACAACAGTATTTTTGAAGCTCAGGAATGTTCAAAATTTATTTTTTACTGAAATCTGGCCGTTGGACAGTGCAATGTCTCAAATTGCAAAAAAAACTCAAAATTTCAATCACGTACATCGAATAGAGTTTGGATAAAAAAACAGTAACATTTTATTCGAAGTGGTTGAGACACTTTTTAACATCTTTAAAATAAAATAATCAAATCAATTTTTTGTTAAAAACCAGAGTTTTCACAATTTATACCTTCCATCACTTACACA